GCACTGTGAGCATGAAAGTTCATAAAGGTAATTACTTTATCACTATCTTAAGCAGCATCATGAAAACAAAACCAAAAATGGGAGTGCCAGCTGGTGGCAAACTAATCCTGTGGTGCACAGAATCCTTTTCAAATTATCAATAACTCAGAAACACACAAAGAAGAAAACGGAAAAAAAAATCATTATGTTAAGGAATAAGGACCCAAAAATCTTACCTCATAGCAATGAGAATAGTGATCACAAATAAAAATTTGAGGACTCACATTCTAAAATGCTACTGAATGGTATCCTAAGATTTTATATTGGAAAGGATTAAAACAAACTTTCTGCAAGGAGGAAAGTGAAAAACAGAACGCTACCGTACCTTGAGGACTATCATCACTCTCATCAGTCACTTCTACGGAAAACCTGTTTCAACTTAAAAAATGAGATTTTTTTTTTTTCCTAAGATATTAGAGCACAGAATTGCTCTAAAATTCTTTGAGTTTTTATTTGAAAATTCAATGTCAAGTGAATGTAAAAATTTTATTAATCTTTCCTAGAAATAAAAAAAGCAACCACACATATAAAGAACTCCACTTGGTGAATATTTTCTTTAAACATCTTAAATTACTAAAGTAGAGACTTGTTATAAAAATTGCTAAGACTATTGCTGAAATTTCACTCAAATAAATAAGCCTAGAGAGAAACATTATTACCTCAACCAGCTATAAAGTTAAGTTTTCCAAACTCTCATGTAACTCTGAGTAACTTCTTCATACATGTCTACTTCCACAGCCCCAAAATTACATGCAGTCTGTAAAATTATAATTACTACAGTCACAATATCAGTTCTTGCCTTGGGTAAGCTGACAAAATTCATATACAGTCAGTCTTATTTTCAGCTCCTACTATTGAGTGACCAACAAAGTTCCCTTTACAAAGGTACAATACTAAACAGCTTCACATCTGTGGACCAGAATATTTGCCTGTATCTGACTGGGATTTAAATACATCAGAAGGGCATATACACTCACAGTAAGCTGTCCATAACAACACACTTGCTGATTCTTCAAATGTGTTCTCAAGCAGAGGAATGAACAGCCATCTACAATCCAGCAGTTGGCCAGTGATTAAGCTATTAATCCTGTATTAGAGACAGAAAAGCCAAGACACTCAGAGGCAAAACCATTTTTGTCCCAATTCACACAGCAAGACAGTGACAAAACTGAGAACAAATAACAAATAGGAGGCATCGTGATGATTTTTGAGCCTGTCATTTCCCAGACTCTGTCACTTCTCTGCATTAGTATTTATTTGAACTAGAGTATTTTTGAGGGAAAAAAGCAACAACAATCTCAACCATTTCAGACTGCAGTAACTAAGAGATATAAATTACAATGGAACAGGAAACTGCTCTTCAGACAGAATCCAACTCGGCTACCATAATGCCTAACCTAGCAGTGTTTTCCTTCATTTAAACATGCTCTGATGTTTAGCCCCCAGTTCCTTTCTATGCACAAAAATAAAAATCTTCAGAGATTTCAGAGTACACATCCCCAGAACAAAATATCTAATGCAACTTCAATTAAAAGCACCTATAGAAAAAAAAAAGAAAAATTATTGTTCTTCAAGCACTGTAACTTTACTTTAGGAATGGAAAACTACTTCAGTCTGTTCACACTGGTGGAACAAGTTTTGTAGTCTGAAATCCAGGAACTAAACTCATAATAAAGCATTGAAGCAAGAGAGACTGCTAATATGAAGGGCATTAATCACACAAAGACATTTTTTGTAGAACTGAGGCCATTTCGGGTTCAATTGCGCAAGCAGCCAGACAGCTCTGAACTGCTGAGAGTGCCAAGCACCTTACAGAAGGATCTTAGATCTCATATTGCTGGACACTCCAGTTTTCACAGGACTGTGTGAGAGGTGTGCTACTTCTTAGTGCAATGGACAAATACATGGGTGACTAGA